GGGGGGGGATAGCCTCAATATTTTCCTTTCCATGACCAACTGTGCAGCTGTGTGGAGGATCCAGTGGTGCACCCTGAACAGCTTGGTCTTAGGAAGTTCATCTGCACAGGGCTGTTGTGGGAGTAGTCACTATGTTCCTTCAGTTCTAGTTGTGATAATAGTCACTAATGTCCCTACCGTTATTGTCTAGTTGTGATAATAGTCACTAATGTCCCTACCGTTATTGTCTAGTTGTGATAATAATCACTAATGTCCCTACCGTTATTATCTAACTAGTTGTAAGAATAGTCACTATGTCCCTACTGTTATTGTCTAGTTGTGATAATAGTCACTATGTCCCTACTGTTATTGTCTAGTTGTGATAATAATCACTATGTCCCTACTGTTATTGTCTAGTTGTGATAATAGTCACTATATCCCTACTGTTATTGTCTAGTTGTAAGAATAGTCACTATGTCCCTACTGTTATTGTCTAGTTGTAAGAATAGTCACTATGTCCCTACTGTTATTGTCTAGTTGTAAGAATAGTCACTATGTCCCTACTGTTATTGTCTAGTTGTAAGAATAGTCACTATGTCCCTACTGTTATTGTCTAGTTGTGATAATAAACTCACCAGTTATCGTCAGATACGCTGAATAAACTCACCAGTTATCGTCAGATACGCTGAATAAACTCATCAGTTATCGTCAGATACGCTGAATAAACTCATCAGTTATCGTCAGATACGCTGAATAAACTCATCAGTTATCGTCAGTTTGTTGTTGTTGTTTATTGGTTTGTTTGTCTGTGTGTTTGTTTGTTTGTGTGTTTGTTAGTTTGTTGAGACCTGGACACAGACTTGAGTCCTGACCTATAATATGATGATGTATAACTCAAGACGGATCGTGAGTGGTCAGGCACTGGTCAATAAATGGCCGTTGTATGGGTTTACGCCTTTTTCAACACTGCAAGTTTATCTAATAGGTAGGACTTCTCATTTCAACACTGCAAGTTTATCTAATAGGAAGGACTTCTCATTTCAACACTGCAAGTTTATCTAATAGGTAGGACTTCTCATTTCAACACTGCAAGTTTATCTAATAGGAAGGACTTCTCATTTCAACACTGCAAGTTTATCTAATAGGTAGGACTTCTCATTTCAACACTGCAAGTTTATCTAATAGGTAGGACTTCTCATTTCAACACTGCAAGTTTATCTAATAGGTAGGACTTCTCATTTCAACACTGCAAGTTTATCTAATAGGTAGGACTTCTCATTTCAACACTGCAAGTTTATCTAATAGGTAGGACTTCTCATTTCAACACTGCAAGTTTATCTAATAGGTAGGACTTCTCATTTCAACACTGCAAGTTTATCTAATAGGTAGGACTTCTCATTTCAACACTGCAAGTTTATCTAATAGGTAGGACTTCTCATTTCAACACTGCAAGTTTATCTAATAGGTAGGACTTCTCATTTCAACACTGCAAGTTTATCTAATAGGTAGGACTTCTCATTTCAACACTGCAAGTTTATCTAATAGGTAGGACTTCTCATTTCAACACTGCAAGTTTATCTAATAGGTAGGACTTCTCATTTCAACACTGTAAGTTTATCTAATAGGTAGGACTTCTCATTTCAACACTGTAAGTAAGTTTATTCAGTGTTTAAGGCCATTGGCCCACATCACATCACACAAAACACTCATAATTTGTTCAATAAAGTTTCCATAATGAAAAAGTACAGGTTGTGCACATATCTCTTATCATGAGTCAAACATTGCAAATTTCTGTCACTGGGCCGAGTCAGGCTGGGAGAGATTAACAATTTCCTTTGATGGACAAAATATGAACAATAGAAAATAAAGTGAAATTCATCTTCAATTTCATGAGAGTTACACATCTCACATAAGGGCGAATTGATTAATTTCCACCGATAGAGATTGTTATGTAATGGAAAGCTATGAGTTTTTAACAAAGCTATGACTCTTCTGTTCCAATACCGTGGGAGGTTGGTGATATACTCAGCTGTTTCTTGAAACGGAATTGTAAGAGAGAATAAATTAAACTTGCGACAGACTTCTTCCTCTATGTTCTGCGCAGAATGATCAACAAATCTCTGTTTTTACTTCTCTCAGAAATAATCTAGTGCTTCCAACACTTTGAGAAAACCAAGCATATCCAAAACCCAGGGAAAACAATAGGTTTATAACTTCAGAGTTCAATACGGACTGTTATCTAAGGAGTGGGACCTCCGAGTTCAACACTGTAAGATTATTTAAGAGGCGGGACCTCCGAGTTTAACATTGTTAGGTTATTTAAGAGGCAGAACCTCCGATTTCAACACTGTAAGATTATTTAAAAGGTGGGACCTCCAAGTTTAACGTTCATCACTGATAACAACGGACCAGATAGATGGAAAGCCTTAACATCTTTTTTTGGGGGGGGGGGGGTGTAAGTGTTTTACGGCGCTCGCAACTGCATAAGATCATAATATGAGCGCGCGAACACACCAAACATTTTCGATTTGTAGGAAATTTTGAATTTTGCCCGGGTGGTGGCCGAAGCCTACTCTTATCGGTTTTGGACCACCAATGGATCTTTACCGTGGGCAACTTGTACTTGAGACCTCCGATATTTTTCGCCCTTGTCCGAGAAGGCTGAGTGTAGATCTTT